AAGTGAAAAACCATTGTTTTACCACATGAGAAAGGTTACAAATCATGTGATTGCAATGAAAGATCTTCACAGTAAAAAGTTATTTTTCAGCTGTTGTAAATTGTGTTTTTATTTTCTGTGTAGATGCACTCCCTGAAAAATGGTCCAGTGTTTTTTCCAATATGGTGCAGCCCGACTGTAGCCATTTAGAAACTGAACAAAAATTATTATCAGGGAGAAAAGCTGGAGGCTTGTGTATTTCTCATGAAGGGAGTTTGGCCTTGAAAATACAATGTTGGTTGGTTTTTCGGTACGCACAGGACGACAGTCTTTTGCTTCGCTACAGCTTTACGGAGTTCTCTCTGCCTCTGTTGCATTTTTTAAAATTGTTGCATATTCTTGCAGGATTTGAGGGTGTAATTACTATTGGAGGTTTAGATTGCTGTCTTAATTAGCTTCTATTTTGTTGGAAATAGCATATACCAGCTCAGTGCAGTCGTATTTTTTTTGACTTGTCAGGTGTTTTTTTTTTTTTTTTTTTTTTTACATCAAATGAAATATTAATATTGCTGGAAAGAGTCTTGTTTTTTTGTTTGTTTGTTTGTTTTTAAGTGTAAGATTTATTTCACCTCCCTGTTGGAATACTTGTTCAGTCTCTTACCAAAACTAATAAAGGTGCATTATATCTGCAGAGCCCTACTGGCTGAAAGGTACAAGTGATTCATTCGAGACATTTTTCTTTTGAATGTGTTTTTATATGACAGCAGCAAATGCAAAAAAAAAAAAAAAAAACTCTCACAGATGAGTCATCTCAACATCTATCTAATAATCTTGTGGTGTGTGTTTGTGCAGGGCTCACACTTGCTTTAATCGTCTGGACCTCCCACCCTACCCCTCCTTCTCCATGCTTTACGAGAAGCTGGTAACCGCAGTAGAGGAAACAAGCACGTTCGGCTTGGAGTAACCTCAAACCGGCTGACACCCAGGGTTAACTGGGGAGAGATAATCGTCTGGAAATCCATGTTTCCCACTTAGGAGAGAGACAGAAAATAAAACTAATATCCTCAAAAGGCAACTAACCCCCCTCGTGGATAACTCCGCCGTTTCTTCCGACTGGCTTTACATCACTCAGCACGCAGGCTTCGTTCCGATTCTCTGCCTTTTCTTCTCCTTTGGATCACGTGAACACCTTCAAGAAGAAAGATGGAGAATCGGAAAATGGTTTGAAAAGCTGTACAGTACAATTTCTTGTTTTCATGGTAACCTTTGTTCACTTAGCCACATGTGTGCTTTATTTCTTTAGTTAATGGCCTTGGTTACTGGATTTCTAGCACCTCTCCTCCTCCTCCTCCTCCTCCTCCAACCTGCACCTCAGAGACAGCTGCTCAACCACAAAGCTCCCTTTCCCTCTCTGGACCTCGAAACTGTGTCTGTCCCTCACTGGGGCTGCAGTGTTATAAACTATATTACACACACATACACACCTTTGCACAAACACACACAAACATGTGAATTTTTCTTTGTATTTACAGGACAAACCAGTGTTTCCCCTGAGATTTTTATAAGCATGGAAAGATGTGACATTTTAGACGTTTAACTTGATGTTGGCTGGTCCTCCCTGCCTGTTTATGGCAGAGGTTACACTGGTTTGCTCAAATACACACTGACAGATGAACGCAAATCAATTATTCTAAGTCTGAAAATGCACTTGTTTTCACAGTTTTGATTCCCGAATAAGCTGGACAGCGAGTCACAAATCGTCAGTGATATTTACGGACAGTGACAGTGACCCGTTGTGATAATGACGGCAGGTTCTGGTCAGGACTGTTACCTTCAATACAGCGACATCAGAGCTCCTACATGAGCTCAAAAGGTAAAGACACACTGGAGAAAGAAACAGCAGTCCTGTTTCTGCATAGACACAACAAGGACAACCAGTGTCACACACAAAAACATGCATACAATATACAGCATTAGCCTTGCACCTTTAGGTGCACTTTCTTACGTGCAACAGATGCACTCACGCCAGTCCAACATAAACACATTTACTGACACACTTCAGTCAGATAGAAATGCAGGGTTCCTGTCTTTCAAACTGTTCCACACATTTCTCATGAGCAATAGATGCACTTTCTCACATAGACAGATGACGCCCGCTCGTAAGTGTGACACACAACGTCCTTCTCACTGATGTAATCGCCTCCCACTCAATGAAAGTGATGAATGTAACAAACCAGTGACTGAATGTATAAACTTCAAGCAACTCTGCTCGGCCTCTGAGGAAAATCTCGCTCCAAGCCGAAGAGGAAACACAAGGTAGAAAGTTTGAAGTGGAGGGACAGGAAATAAAGCATGACAGGTGCTTGAGGAATGTGGAGGCGCTTTACTTAATGTTGGCACCAGATTAGGCCTTGCTAGCTGAGACACAAGTGTGGTGTCATACAGGTACCGGGTCAGGCTGTGGTGGTAGGACTTTTTTAGTGCCTCTTGAGTTTTCCTGACCATAAAGTGAAATTTCATAAATTTTACAAGGGAAGTTTTGGACCAGATTCACATGTGTCACTCATCAAAGATGGTGAAACTGTTGGAGCTGTGGTTTTTAACAAATCAGATCTCAACACAAGGGGGCAATAAGGTGTTCTACCATTACTATGGCACTCAAATGAAAGAAGCAGTGATTTTGTCCTTATTGAAGGGTCTGACCAGGTGTCGGGATGATGTTATCAGGAACAAGCACCAGCCTTTAAGGCTGTAAGGATATTGTACTTAAGAACTTGTGGCATACAAGTCCATGCCAGACAATAGTTTTGTCTTAAAAGCATGTGATAAAACATTTCTCTTACTCTTAAGTGCACAACCTAAAGTCTGAGGACCCTTTCACTTTGTCTCCCACACACTACACAAACACACACACAGCACACACACACACACATACACACTTACAAATACACACATACGAATACACACATGCTCATTTTCTATGGGGTGCATGCAAGATTACACCTACTGTACAGAGTCCTGTTGGAGCTAGACCACAGGGGCTGGAATAGTGGTAGAGAGCCCCACATGTGGTACGACATGTGGAGGCAGACTGTTCCAGCCCCCCCTCCCAGCCCAATAATGCATGCAGGATCTTCCTGGTCAGCTCTGTGAGCTGTGCCTGGCAGAAACTCCTAGGTGGCGTTGTGTTATAGCTCGATATTGCATGCTGAAATAGTGCAACACACTGTCCTTACTAGCTTTTTTTGCATGAGGATATTGCTATCCATTCAGACAAAGGGGTGAGGGAGCTGGTTAAGTTGTGTCACTTTGGTTGTGGCGCTCACTTGAGGCATGCGGCCTTATGCTTACCTGACACTGTCATACCCTGAGTGTTAAGCTCATGGGAACCAGGTGTAGTAAGTAGGTGCTTTAGGAATGGACAATGTGTGAATGCAATAGTTTGTTTTCTCTATGACAGTGGAACGGCGAGTATCTTGGCAGCATGTTTCTAAAATGTTGTTACTTTCACATGTGCGTGTCTGCCTATCTTAGTAATAGGTCGATGGTTATGGTTCATTGCTTATGAGCAAGTAATGAATCAATAGGGCTGTTTTGATTTTGTGAAACGTGAGAGCACATGTATGTGTACCATGTGTGCAGTCCTGTTTGTCTCTTTGTATATAAATGTATATGTATGTCTGTCCTGTTGTGTGTATAAATATATATTTTGCACCGAATGTACCAAAGGTTTGGGGCTTGCAAAGTCAACCATTAGGCCTGCTCTCTATTTCAGTCTAACAAACACATCCCACTTCTGGCGTCTGCCAAATCCTTACAGAGCATCACCTCATGTTTGCTTGAGGGGCAGATTTGTGGCATGGGCAGCAACGCTTCACGTTAGGATATACATCACTCGGTCAGTTTGACATTCACCATAACGAGGCTTTTGTGGTGCAGAGGATGGGTAAGATTTTTGCTTCACATCAGAATGAAGACAGCTGCACCTCTCATCTTTCCTAGTACATTTCTGACAGGACCCGTCTCCAGTTTTCAGAATTCCACTCTATGCAAAGCTCCTGTATGTGTGTCTCCATTTCACTCCAATGATTGTAATAAAAGAGAACAAATGGCAAATTTTGATCAGTGATACACAATCCTTATTTATCTTTTACAAGAGTGTCATAGCAGTTGAATGATGTCATTCAGTTTTAAATCTTGAAGAGAGTATGGGGAAAGATCTGTTTAAAAAAGTCCAATTATGAAACTAACCCTATACCTGCTTTATACATTTGTGATCGCATGGTACTATGAAAACTTTTTTAGGTTTAGATGCTGAGGTCTGTGTGAAGCTTTGAGTGCACTCCAGATGCTTTGCAAGATGTTTTACAAGTAAAAGAAAAACTAGATGAAATGTTAAAAAAGGCAAAGATAAATATTTATTTAAATTAAACTTCAGCGAAGTGAAAAATGTTGACTTTTCATGTCAAGAATACGAGAAACCTACGTCAAAACAAAATGTAGACTTTCTCACACTTGTTTGTATCCTGATTTGGATTCACTCTCTGAAAAGTACGACTCAAAATTTTGAAATAGGAAGTCAAAGTTGTGAGAGACTGTGTCAAAATGATGGCAAAGTGTGGTGTAAAGATGATTGTGAAATAGAACTCTCAACCGTCTGTCAAAAACAGTGGAAATGCTGACTTTCTACATCAAATTTAAGAACCTAAACTAAAATGGTGAGAAATCCAATCAAATTATGACACAATTTTGATGCAAAAGTAATAAGAAAATTGGCTTGTAAGTCAGAATTGTTAAGCCAAAAGTATAATACACAATCGTGAAATAGAAAAAGTCAGGCATATTTCGTGTTTTGACGCAGCATGGGTAAATCCCTCACTCTCTCTGTTCTTGGCAGAAGTGGACTCCCAGGTTTTTCCACCTCTGAACAGCCACATTTCAAATCAACTTTTCGCCAAGCAAAACGGCAGTGCGCATGCGCCGTGCAGTGACGTGTCGCCAAGTGTCAAACAGAAGGATGTGGAGATGACCGAAAACTCCGCTCGTAACCTCACCAAGACGACCAGTAGTCGCCCGCAGAGGCAGGTTGGATAACCTCGTTACCCGTAGCTTTAGGTTTGCATAGACTAGCCGCTTTAATTTACCCGAGGACCGTTTAACTCACTTTTAAACCCGCGATATTGCCGTCGAGCTAACTTAGCGGCGGTTGAGCTAACCGGAGAACAGTAACATGTAACGAACGTGAAAACGGCCAGTGCTACAGTTAGCTAGCCGCTTAGGTCAGTTTTATCGTCCGTCTCTCGTTTGCTTAGCGTTTACTTCTTCGCTCGGTTTTTCCAGCCGAGTAGCAGGCAGGTAGGACTCACACCGAGGCTGGGGGCAGAGCAAGATGTCTCGGAGACGGCTTGACAGTCGCAGCGGACTCGCCGCCGGGCTGCTCGGAGAAACTCAGACCCCGGTCAGCGCGGAGCCGATGGAGAGCGTGTATGAAATCACCGGAGAGCTGGGGAGGTGAGTCCCAACGGGGTTTAACTTCTCCAGGAATAAAGTGATCCAGTAGTACCTCAGAATGTATTATCACATATTTACAATTGAGACTTGACTTTGGTGGAGCAGAAACTCCGTCTGTGAACTTTAGTTGCTCCCTGGCCCAACTTAGATTGTTTATTTAGGCAACACTGGTGCACATATGGGCAACAGAAATATTCAAAGGAACACTGTATGGACTACTGCTACGTGTGTTTTTTACACACAGACTAATGTTGTCTTTATCTGGCCATTTATACTAAAAAAAACACCCAAGTTCAAATTGCCTGTAAGTTTTGTATTTGCGCCAATGAATAGCTCATATCAGGTTATAAAAACACACGACTGTTAACGGTGTTTGGACTCTGGACTGTAAGCTTGAACCACAGTAAACACACGAGCCTGGCTGTACTGGGAACCTGACTTCATCATGCTACAGTGGACCTTTGTCATGTGTTTGTCAGTGTGTGTTTGGCTATGTGTGTGTGTGTGTGCCATGGCAACCACTGATGGTGGATGATCATATGCTAAGAAGCCTGAGGTGTGTTTGAAGTAATGTGTCATACAAGCGTGTACTTTGTAATTGTGCAGGAGGAAGGAAACAAGCGCATGTGGAAACCAGACTTTAGAAAGAAGAAATGGTCCGAGCCACTTCTGTTCACTTATTTGTTTGCAACTTGTCAAAACAGGAAGTTTTCAAAAAACATAAGTCCTGTCGTGTTGGGCTTAAAAATTTCCAGTTGTGCTTTTGACCTTTGGTGTGAAGTAATGCACAGCCATGGTACACCGGTGTCTTCACAGCGGGGAAAAACTTATCTCTCATGGTGTTCCCCGATGTTTGTCAGACCGAAACTCACAGCTAACTGTGGGCATTTATTCATGCAATAAGATGCATTAATCAGTCATTTCTACATTAACACTGATTGATTGTCTGACGACTGTGAAAGGAGGGCAGTGTTGGAAAAGAAACTACACTCTGCTCACAGTTTTAGTTGTCCAACACATACATTTACTTACTTTCTTTTAACCTTGTAGGCAGTCTGCCAGCACCAAACATCAGATATAACTTGTGACTAGCTGGCAAACATAGCATCTAGCAGGCTAAACAATGAGAAATGTAGATGTAGAGCAAACCAGGGCTAACAGGAGAGTGAAAGCTCTACTCTCATTAGAAGCAAAATGTCAAAATGAGTTTGATTTTTTCTCATTTTCTTTTTTATCTCGATATCTTAGAAGCATATTTAGTTTGATGAGGAGCCAACAGTTGATCTGCTTAGTTTTTAAATGGTGGCAAGACAATACAGAAAGACATGCATAGTTAACATGGTGGAGTCTTTCCCTAGAATTATTACTGTATGGTGTCAACTTTAAAAATATGTATTACAGACATATTTTGTTTGTCAGATACTGAAACGAATACAGTGTTTTCAGGACTGATATGATATTCTTTATATGCAGTCGTGGACAAAAGTTTACACTTGTAAAGGCTCGTCTTGAGTTTCCAGTGATCCCTACAACTCTTAATTTTCTATGATGGAATGTTCGAAAAGTTTGCATCTTTGTTGGAAAAAACAATCATGCATTTTGGTTCTTTTGTAGATTTAGGTTTTCTAGAAATATGTCAAAATCTGCTGGGTTAAAACTGTACACACAGCAACTTGAATTATCGATTTTGGTGAGGTTGTGTTCATGAAATTTTCTGAGTGTCATGGCCTCTTTACTTCTCATGAGCGATTGCAGTTGACTACAGCTGCTGACTCTGGGCCATTTGATGCACTCATTAGACTCAGCCACAAACACTACAATGGGAAAGAATTGAGTACATATCTGATTATGCAAATCATTGACTTGAACAAGTCAGGAAAGTCACTTGGAGCCATTTCTAAGATGCTTTGGATTCCAAAATCATCTGTGCAAATACTTTTCAGTATAAAGTGCGTGGCATAGTTGTGTTACTGCCATGATCAGGAAGAAAATGCAAACTGTTACCTGCTTCTGAGAGACAGTTGGTCAGGATGGTCAAGCAGTCATACAAGAAGGAGGTAACGGCACCTGAAAGCTCAACTGAAGTTTGCTGCTGATCACATGGACCAAGAAAAGGCCTGCTGGAGGAAAGTTCTGTGATCAGATCAAACAAAATTTGAGCTTTTTGGGCTACAGTGACCAAAAATATATTTGCAAGGGAGAAGGTGAGGCCTTAAACCCCAACAACACCAAACTTACTGTTAAGCATGGTGGTGGTAGTATCATGCTCTGGGACTGTTTTACTGTCAGTAGACCTGGTGGAACCGAAAATCATCAGCCAGATGGTTGGGTCTTAGATGCAGTTGCGTGTTCCAACAAGAAGGTAACCCCAAACACACATCAAAAGTAGCAAAGAAATGTCTAAAAAAAAAAAAAAGAGGCTAAAATTAAGGTTTTAGACTGGTCTCCCCAAAGTCCTGAATTAAACCTCATCAAGAAGGACTGTGATGAAGAAACAAGTCCAACAAATTGAGTTTAAACGTACCAAATCTGTCAAGAGGAGTGGAGATAATGAAAGATACAACCAGAAGCTTGCCAGATGCTACAAAAAAAAAAAACCTAATTAAGGTAAAATGGCCAAAGGATGTTTAACCAGATGTTAGTATTGCTGTGTGTATAGTTTTGACTCAGCAGATTTTGTCATATTTCCAGAAGACCTAAAATACGCATGATTGTTATTTTATGACAACGATGCATGTGCTTCAGTCACTATATCATTAAAAATAAAGAGTGTCAGTGGAAACTCATCACTGCCATGAAATACATTGTGTTGACAAGGGTTTGTACACTTTTGTTGACGACCGTATTGAAAAGGGAAATGATGGGGCAATCAACTGTCCTGCAATGTATTTCCCAAACTAGTTAGCAATTTACCGTGAGAACACTGCTTGACTCCACACCACTGTCTTTGGTACATGACAGTGCTGAGAGTTTTGTAACTGGAGTGGGAGCTGCTCTGCTGGGAAAACTGTATGATGCATTTTCTGAACAACCCCAAGCATCTTTTTCTGTATTATATTCCAGTTAAACAATTTTCTAACTGGACAACACATATACCAAAACTAATATACTGTATCTGTGATGTGCAAAAAGCAGCCTACTGATGTGTTGGTCAGGCTTATAAAAGTCTTGGGTGTTGCCACGAAGGAGTTTAGCACCATTGTTCTATTATTTAAGAGAGTTATGTTGGGTCTGTAACCTTTGTAGTTGCTGCTCTTGGGTTTTGGTGAAGCTGTTATTTTTGGATTCGATTTATTTGTCTTTGCTGACGTCTTTGCGCAGCCCTGGGGGAGAATGTTTTAACTAATTGCACAAAATACCAGCAGAGTATCAAAAGGGGTTTTCTCATAACTGGAGGTCGACTTCTCTGGACAGTTTTGTTTAATAATTAGTGATTAGTGTTTTTCTTGCTAAACCTTCGCCCTATTAAAGGTCACAAACACCATAAATATTGCGTGACTGTATGCTTTCTGTAATATATTTATTGCATTTAATAACACAAACTGATAATGCAGTCACAAGACACAGCAGCATCGTTATCACTAAGCTGTCAGGAACCGTACTGGCATTAGATACGACACAGAGCCTGTTATCTAATGCCAGTATTTGCATAGCACCATTCTCCCAAGGCTGAAGTCACTTACAAACACGTCATGAAGGCAGGGCAGTGTATGAATCACTACTACATACTGTGTTTAATTGTGAAAGTTTTGCGGAGTCATGTTGAGACGTTTTGCTTTCTAAATTAACGTTGTCAAGGTGTTTGTTTCCCAAAATATTGAGCAGCATTTTTCTTAGACCAGGTGGCCTCCTCTGCATCAGCCTACACTCAAATAGCATCTGTACAGTAACTTTAGTTTCACTTAAGGGTGTCTCTTCTTTATTTTGTATTGTTGAGAAAGATCCAATAAAGCTGATCTAACTGGCAGTTGGTCACTTTCACTCTAAAGGGGCATTTTCACTGTTTCGTTTCTCCTAGGGGGAAGTTCGCTGTGGTCAAGCGCTGCGTGGAGAAGGCCACGGGGAAAGTGTTTGCGGCCAAGTTTCTAAGAAAGAGAAGGAGAGGTCGTGACTGCCGGGCCGAAGTCATTCATGAGATGGCTGTCCTGGAGGCTGCCCGTAACAACGCCCGGGTGGTCAACCTGCACGCCGCCTACGAGACGGATCACGACATCGTGTTGGTGCTGGAGTAGTGAGTTCAGAACAAAGCTTGTTCTTTCTTGTTATATTCTGCCTTTTTGATTTCATATATGACGAATCATATTTAATCCATCTCTTAATCACACTTTCTACATATTTCTGATACAAACATGCCGAACCAGCAACATGAACCTGTAAATACTTGTATAAGGGCAAAGTCCAGTTGGTCCGGTCTTAAAGAGCTGCCACATTAACTGCTTTTTCTTTTCTTTTTTTTTTTACATAACTCCAAACAGCTCATTCTTCATAACAGGTTTTACAGGATTTGCTTGAAGACTGAAAGGCCTGTGCTGGCTAAATTACTGTACAGCTTGAGCTGAAACTCTAGATTTAGATGACCTGGATGAAAATCCTTTTAGTCCTGACCTCTTGAACTTTCATGCTAAGTTATCCTTTCAAATGAACCTCATCTTTGTCCTCCCTCTCCTTCGTCTTGTCTTTTTGTGCAATCAAAACAGAAACTATATGTGAGACCAAGATTAGAAATAAGAATACATGGGGTTGTGTGGATTTTCTAACCACACCTTCAGTACTCAGTGGAGACGTTTTAATCCCTCCCAGAGAGCAATGACGACGTTAGCAACTCATTTTGTTGATCTAAGAAAGCCTGGACACCTCAAAAACAGCTTTGACATATACCAAATTACAAGCCTGAATAACATGAAATGCAGTAAAAACAGATGAACTCTGGACACAATTTGCACTCTGTGTTTTTGGCTGGCACCTGTACCTACACTGCTGTACAGTGACTAAGCAGGAAGGAGCTTTCTTTCTTGGATAATAAAGCTTTGCCAGAAAGTGCAAGAACTAACTGTTTACCCCCTGGCTAAGGGTTGGCCACTGAAACCACCATGCCACACTGCAGGCCATAAATAAACTATGCTTCAGTTTATCTTGTGGAAAGTCCACCACATACAGACTGCATCAAATGTCAGAAAATTGCCTGCTATCTGACTAGCCGTAGACATTTTAGCAGATGGCCTGTTCATGAACTGCCTCTGTGTGTGTGTTTCCATGTATTTATTTTGTGTTTTCTCTTTGCCCAGTGCGGCGGGTGGAGAGATATTTGACCACTGTGTGTCTGAAGAGCTGCTGCCAGAAGCCCATATCACCCGTCTGATCAGGCAGACACTGGAGGGAGTCCACTACCTCCACCAGAGCAACCTGGTTCACTTAGACCTCAAGGTCTTTACACACACACACACACACAAACAGAATCACATGCAAGAATGTCGCTGGGGCTGTGGGAATCTATTTCTAAATGTTCGCTCACTTCACCCTTAAGTGTGTGGTTTTCTCTTTTTTTGGGAACACTCAAAACCTCAATTTCCTATTTCCATGACACAGTTAAGCCCAGACCAGGATTATAGGTGGTAATAGAGCCTCTAGCCCCGGGCAAAGTGGGAAGATTAACAAAGAAAAATGGAGATTTAAACACCAGTCTTACAGCATTTACATCTGAGTGTGAAAGGTCATGTTTGTGGCCACAGCTGCAGGTGAATCACCGTGTTTAATGGTCACCACGTCATCATATTAATGTAAATATCACTAGGGCTGGGAATCCTACATGAGCGTGCGTTTCAACATACTGTAGTGTATGTTCTCAGCCTCACTTGAAGGGAATGACGTGGTAACATAATAGCGGTGTTTATACAGCATCATAGAGTCAATATACATTCAGTACTTCAATAAATGGCTGCGTTAGACGTGGTAAACACCTCTCCCTCTCAGCAGGCAAATTCATTACTAATTGTTCCATAAGCTCTTCAGGAATATGTTTTATCTTTCCAGCACGTTCTCACTGTGTTTCTTCATGTCTCTCTCAGCCCCAGAACATTCTCCTGACCAGCCTGTCCCCTCCAGGAGACATAAAGATTGTAGACTTTGGCCTGGCACGCAGACTGGGTGCGGTTGGAGAGCTCAGAGAGATTCTTGGCACACCTGAATATGTGGGTAAGGTGATATTCATAAAACTCGTTTTCATCACTCAGAGACATCGGACAGGAGCTGACGTGCAGTCGGTGGTTTTGTTTATGCATTAACGATGGTTTGTGGTTAATGAGAAGCACTTGTTGTCATCTTTAGTGTACTTTTCACACTTATTGGTAGAAGAATTGCTGCAGCGGCTACTCGTAATTACAAATAGCCGTCAGCCATAGAGCTAATTGGGTTTTATGAGTTTGAAAAAAAACCAAACCTCTCAGTCAGACCTCAACTTTGGCCCGTCCATTTGTCTACCCTTTTTATGCACATTTTATTTTCGATGCTGCTTTATGGTTATTTTTCTGTGCAGTCTTGAACTGAATTAGTCGATTGACGATAAGCAGAGTAATAAAACAGACACACCTGAGTAGTGAGAGAAGAAGACATCATAAGTCATGGAATGATACAGGAAATTACACCACAACATTCTTGCAACATTGAATAACAGCTGACTTTCATTTCTTTTTCTTTCATGTTCAGCTCCAGAGATCCTCAATTATGAACCAATCACAACATCAACTGACCTGTGGTGAGTCCATCCCTGCAGAATTGTGACTGACTTCACCCGTTCCACCTTGAAGGTCTCTGTGCTGGGACCAGGCAGGGTCTGGATTTAAAACTCAACCAGCTGCCATATTTAGAAGGTTGCAGACGGTGTCACATCCAGCCTGCTGCTACCAAGATTATAACGGATAAAGCATTGCTCTGCTTCATTGCTTCTGTATGAAATGTGGTAGAGTTGCGGTTGAGAAGTTTTAGAACAGATTCAGTGACATCAGTGTTTATTGGTTAAAAGGATATTTACTCTCTAATTCAGTTTGGATGGAGCTGAAGTGAAAAAGTTTTGGCATGTCAAAATTCTCCTGTTTAACCCCAAGCAGTTTCTGGGTGTTTTCTTTTTGCCTTATGTTCTTTCTACATACCGAGATATTTAACTATTTGCATCTTTAATTTGTTTCTGTACTCTGTGTAAACACCGCCTGGAGTTCACCTGAAAAGTCCCTACATTTTCTATCATGTGGAAGCTGGGTACCACTGAGTCACTGGTAGCTTCAGGGTTGTCCCAAGGAGTGCAGAATTTGTTGTTTTTTTTACCAAATCTGGTGCAAACAGTTACATTTTGGGGTATTTTTAAAATGAAAGGTTATTAGATCAAAGTGATTTTGATGAAATATTGCAATGTAACTTAGATTCTGTTTATTTTCCATACAGAACTACACGCCACACAAGCAATTGGCTGCACGGTTTCAGACAAACGTTAATCTATTTATAGGATAACGTGCCTTTCAAAGCTGCTGCCAGGTTTTGCAGCTCAGAGTTAAGACATTATAACACGAATGTAAATACCATTGAGGTTGGGAATTTTACATGAGCAGGTTCTTCAACATAGATGCTAATCAAACAAACATGTACTCCGTGTTCTGTAGAAAAATGACGCAACAACATAATAGCAGTGTTTAAACAGTGTCACAGGTTCAATATGTGTGTAAACCAGCGAATAGAATCATTTTTGGGAAGAGGTTTCAGCCTACACTAAAGGAAAATCACCAGCAAAATAATTTTTTTTAGCCAGTTTTGTTAATTGGGGTTTCAGTTTGCTAAGAATAATGGATGTTTTTGTTTATAAAATGGTCAAACATAACAGGGAAATGCATGGATTTCAGGCAAATGGGAAACACTGACTCAGTGCCTGCACCGTGCCCACATAGATCAGGCTTACTGTTGTGAGTAGTCACCCTCCAATGACCCATTCTGAGCCACGAAAAAACCTGCTATGCAAGTGTAATATGTCGGAGTGTCTCTGATCTGTAGAGCCCAGCGTTGTTCATTTAGGCCTGAGCTGTTGCAACCAAAATGTGGGCATGTGTTTCAGGCGGAAATTATTAATAAATAGTCTGCAATAATAGCTAGTGGTGATTTAAAAGACAGTTGATAGTCTTGGACAGAGTTTTTAGGATGTTGCTCCATGCAGATTTGAGCTACAGCTCATGAACAGGTTTCAGAAACTGTAAATGAAACTGAAGGCGTTCAGCAGTTTTTCAAAACAGAACAGTCCCCCAACACATTTGACAGTTCACCTTTGTTCTCATTCGTCTCCACTGCCCTGTTGTTTCACCCACATGCACTCCAGCACATGTGTTGACTGTGTCGTTTGTGTGCGTTTCTCAGGAGTGTGGGCGTCATAGCATACATGCTGGTGACGGGTGAATCTCCGTTCGCCGGGGACGACAAGCAGGAGACGTATCTGAACGTGTCCCAGGTCAACGTGGACTACAGCAGGGAGGCCTTCTCCAGGGTGTCGGAGCTGGCCGTCGACTTCATCCGCAAGCTGCTGGTCAAAGCGCCCGAGTGAGTAGAGGCAGCCTGGGATCTCGGCTCCACTTTCCACAGAGCAGAAACTCAATCACATGGTTTATTTAGAATGAAATGAAAATGGAATGCTAGCGCGCGGCTGTAAACAAAAGGATAAGATGTTTTTCCGCGACACGACCCAACGGACACGTCATGTTTTATTTTCGGGTGATTCCACTGAAGTGTGAAGGATTCACACAGATCAGCCGGCAAGCACAGCACATTCCTGAGCCTTAAATCCCTTTATTTACATGGGAAACACATGTTTACCTTAAAGAATAGGCTGAAAATGTTGTTAGTTACCATCTAGTTCATCACTGCTGTTCATCAATCTGACCTTTTTTTTTTAAAACTTCTTCCCTGACGACACTATGTTAAATATTCTGGGGCTGTGTGAGCTGAGTGTTGGACATTGTTCTTTGCCCACAGGGATCGGCCCAGCGCTGCAGAGTGCATGACCCACCCCTGGCTGTGGCAGCAGCAGCTCTGTCTGAGCCCCGAGCCGGCCGCCTCCCGCACCGGGAGGAGCTGTGGCACCAAGTGGACAGCTCCACCCGAAGACCCCGAAGACAAGGAGAACTTCCTGGAGTCGCCTCACTCTCACGCGAAAAAGTTTCGCTTCGACGAGGAGACGCCCGCTGCTGGAGACGGTGACTTTTGAAAAGTTTGAAAGAGAAGGAATTGAAGTAATAAGGCAGGGGTTCTTCCTCTGAGCTTTTAAATTCTTTTTAAGCCTCCAGAAAACCAGCTGTCTGCTGCCCACCACTCAAGAGTACTTAGGCTGTTTATATTCCACTAATTTGATCAGCTGCAAGATCGACCACTCAAACCAAAGATAACCAGCTAAATTTTGAAATCTGTTGCTGTTAAGAGGTGTGAACGTTGTACAGTATGTCTCAATTAATGCAGTGTGTTTAACCTGAAGTATTTAATTCCTTTCGTTGTTTTTTTCAAAGGGCCGTGTTAGCTGTCCCTATGCAGATGAAGGCTAGCGTCGAGGATTTCTAGGGAACTCTATGCAATACTTGTCATGCATTGTACGTCTTTGCCTTAAGGTGGGAAGTTAAGTGTCGTTAGTCATCAGCTCCAGTCGCTGCTCAGCTGCACTGGAGCTTCAGCAGATACACGTGATATCAAGATAAGCAGCTCTGCAATGAGGAAGTGTGATCACATCTTTATTTGCATGTTGACGAGAATTAGGCGCAGCAGCGTTATGGGGAACCTGATGTAGGCGGCTAACACATGCTGCTGCCCATGCTATGGTTGTGTTTCCCTTTAAAGACAGGATTTCACACAGAACATTACATTCCGATGTTTGTCTTCGCACTTGATGTCAAACTTCCATGTCCACGTGTGCTACAGATTGAGAGTTTAAATGTAGCTCAGGGTTTTAGATGAGATGTCTTTTTATAACCTAACCATAGTGTAGCCCCCCTTCACAAGACCTGAGAAGGCCTCCACATCTCTCTTGAGTTTAGGTTATTATGAAGTTTTCTAGAAGAAAACCGCTCCGACAGCGAGGCCTGGAGTGAGCAGCGGGCATTCACGGCATTACTGTTTGTGCTGCCGCAGTAAAACAGAAACTGCACCAGCTCCAAAAGAAGCAGTGACTCAAACAGTCGTCCGAACGCCACACCCGCATCTACTCAGTTTCCTCACTGAGCCGCAAGTTCCTCTTTGTTAAACACGACTTTAGCACTTACTTCATAAGCACACGTATGGAAGCGATAAGGGGAGCTATTTCTGTGCGTCCTCCACAGGTCCACTGTGTCTTTCACCAAAGCCATTCAGTCTGCAAGTCCTCATGGGTCAGGGTGCCTGAAGCGATCTGTTCCTGTTGTTGTTCATCTCAGGGCATGCTGCTCACTCTCTGCTCACTTTTGTTTTGTATTCTTAATGTTATTCTTATTATAGGCCTATTATTATTTATGTGCTGGACTTATACTTTATATTTTTTATGTAAATGCGCTCATGTGTCTTATAGGGAAGCGTTGAGATTATGATGGGAGCCTGGAGATCGAGGGTGATTAAGGTGTTTATTCAACACAACGAGATGCTGTTGTGGTTGCAGCGTACGGAATAATAAATGGAAATAGTGGAAGACGACGAGAAGGACTGGTTTTAAGGTGGCGTCGGGAAGTGAGATGAGTCAGGAGGAAGGTGATTAAGTAGTGGGATGGAACTGGAAATGTGTCAGTCTAGAAAGAAGAGTTTGAAGGAATAGTTAGACTTTAGAGGGAACGCGTTTCCTGACTGTTTCTTTAAGTTCTGATGTTGAGCGTTTAAAATATGCGGGTGATGAGAAAGTGAGAATGATGATTGTTGTTGTTAAGTTTTAGGAAAAAAACAAAAAAAACAAAAAGCAGGGTGTTTATCCCAAGAAGCACGGCATAATGTGAAACACGAGGTGCTATTGACTCACAGGATTTGCCATCTTTTGTTCAAGTAAAACTGGAATGAAACAAAACCTCACCAAAATCAACTCTTAATTGCGCTTACCCTCTGGCTAAAGCATTCCTCTTTTTTTTTTTTTTTGGTTTTATTGTGCCAAACCGAATAGGACCACATTGCATTTGTGTGTTGTTGTTGTCACCAGCTGGCACAATGGCCTTTGTGAAGTGAGATGGGCGTCTCCAGCCACGGCCATGCTCTCATCCGTATGCTGTCATCCTTGAAAACTGGAACACCACACTGTAAAAGAATTCCATCTGAGTTTAGATCAGAACTCGTTGATTGAGTTCATCAGTTTGATACAGTCCCTTTTTTGCTACTGTATTAGGAAATAAGCTTGAATCTTACTTAATCTCAAGACTCTTTTTTTTTTTATTATTATTTCGAAGTCTGTCCACTCTGCGTTTTGTAATACCTCTACAAACGGACGACAATGTCTCTGACGCAAGTGAAGCTATCTCTCTCTCTCTCTCCTCCTGTAGCAGAGTCTGTAAAAAAAATAGATGTTTTAAGATGTAAGTAGTCGAATCCAGAGAGTAGATGAACTTGTTTTGCATTGCAGTGATGTCAGGGATCTCACTTTGCCGGATGACGGAGTGCTCAAATGGACACAGCGGCTCATGTTTGCTGCCATTGTTTATCTGTCACTTGAACATGACTTATGCTGTAGCGTTGAGCTCGTTGTTTTGCACAGCTATTGTACTGTGTTATTTTCAGCAGCTAGTCACTCGGTGGCCTCTGTGTGTGTGTGCGAGTGTGTGTGAGTGTGTGTGTGTGAGCGTTCATTGTCTGAGCGAGAGGTGCTCAGCTGGCAGCAGCCGGGCCGTCGTCCTCGAGAAAGTGGAGCGCCACTGATGTCACCCAACATTCCTGTTTGTTCTCTTTGAGCGCAGTCAGACTGAAGGATACTGTACGTTAGTAAAAAAAAAATAACAGCCACAAGCACAAGCAAATAAATGTTGAAGAGATGTATGTTTATTTTGCATTTTATATTGTTTTTTTTTTTAATGTATGAGCATTCTGATTGCATTTGAAATGACTAAAAAAAAAAAAAAAAAAGACATAATCCATTTGTATTCTGATCGCTGCAGGCTAATACGTAGGGCATCACAAAGCAAACTGAGAAAAAGCTCATTAAAGATTGTAGAAAATATGTGACGGACTCTTTGTTGTCAGTCTGTTTCGGTTCCTTGCGTTTGAATCTCTCCACACTGCTGCCACCTGCTGATTCTACAGAGCAACCTGCTCTCAGTTACATTCTCCATCACTGGCTAACTGGAAATAGGACCAAGCAGCAGCAGCAGCAGGGTGTCGGTGTGGACCAGTTAGCAGACAAATAAAACCGTGCACGTTGCGTGGGCTTGTGCACAAGCTCAACTTTTGACACAAAAGTTAAATAGAAGTCCTGCTCGTAGACTTTTCGACAGCGCAGCATATAGCGAGTAAACATCATGGAATGCTTTTGAAGTTACATTCAGCAGAACGACTTGCAGCCACCAGCATAGTGCAAAGATGCTATTGAAGCTCACACAGAGGTCATACACATTATTAATAATACGCATGCTGCCAACTGACAGGCCATCCCAACAAGACACTGGACGTACGGACACAAAACTAGCATGTATATCTGTTGCAGCTACAAAAACACAGTACATGTAAGTTGTCTGCCACCATGAGAAGATAAAGACACACCTTTGTGTTCATACAACCTATTCTACAAAAGAAAAGTGTAGTCATAGTTTTTTATTCATAAATGATGCAGTATAAAGGGATGCATAGTGATAGCGGCATTCTCATCATCGGTATCGACTGATAAAAGCATCAGCAGAAAAAGAACAAGAAACACCCGTCAGGCTTAGAGTTTACGGTTTCTTTAAAGTATTAAATACACTTTGGTGCAGGGGTGTCGAACTCCGGTCCTCGAGGGCCGCAATCCTGCATGTTTTAGATGTTTCCCCTCTTCCAACACACCTGATTCAAATGATCAGGATCGTTATCAGGCTTCTGCAGAGCTTGATGATGAGCTGATCATTTGAATCAGGTGTGTTGGAAGAGGGGAAACATCTAAAACATGCAGGATTGCGGAGTTCGACACCCCTGCTTTAGTGTGTTTTGCATGTGCGTTGTATTTTATGTGTGTACCTGCAGCAGGAGCATCAAAACATGTTAATTCCAATACAGGAGAACGCTGACATTCTCTGCAATAAAAGCTGAAATCAAAAAATATATATATGTGCATGTTTTAACAATCAGACAGTGAAAAGTTGGAAAATATCAGATTTCTGCAAAAATCCAACATGGTGCATCCGTACTGGTATGAAAGATCCAAAGACGGCAAATTAACATCAATCAGGATTTTGTTTTTTTTCTAAACTTATGTTTTCTTCAACAAGTTACGGCAAAAGAAGTATTAAAATGTTCTAATAAAAGTCAATTCAAAAGTTTCTTCCTAAACTTGACAACAGCAGCTGACGTGGGTCACATGATCTCTATGAACACAGCTCAGCTTCACCTGCTGATGAAGATCAAAAAGCTCCAGAATCTTTACTTAATGGACCTCCAGGTCACGATGTGTTCATTGTCATAATGAACAAATTTATGTTTTTCTCATGGTGGCAGCGATTTAAAAAAAAAAAATCTAACTCCTACTGAAATACAACTTCCACATTTTGGTTTCCTCTTTCAGTAAGTTATGACTTAAACAGAAACGTTCTCACAAATGATTGATCCACCATCAGGATCAAAGTGAAGGAATGAAACAGAACCGTCTGTTAACTCGCTGTGCTTAATAAATTGGCCACAGTTTAAATACAATCGACTGAGAGACCAACTGATGAAGTCTGGACGCGACACCGCAGAGTCTCGTTCAGACCTTCAGACATTCACGCGTCAACACAAGTGCAGGTATAAAGAGAATGTAAAGAGCTGCTCCGCTTCAGCCAAACAAACATCAAGCTCTGTTTAAAATCAGCAGAAATTAAAATAAGTAGCTAATTAATTATACAAACTTAAATCATCTCCAGGACAAAATCAACCCAAACTTGTTGAGGTTTCTAAATCAACAGACTCTGCAGCAGCACAAACTGAGCCAGAGTCGAACAGAAAATTACATTTAGCCTCGAAGGATCTTTAAAGGAAGACACTGGATGGCAGACCTATCCATCATCCATTTTTTTATACCTGCATATTCCTGCTCAGGGGAGCAGGTGGAGGATCGCCTCAGGTTAAGTGCTTTTAGCAATACAAAGAAAGAAACACAACACCAGCATCTGTCACGTGCTCTAAACTCCGAGCCCTTAAATCACGTTGAGGTAAGACCAGCGAGTAAGACACACAACCTGCATTCTAATGGTGACGTAGAGCGCTGGGCGACGTCCACGCCGTCAGCTCAGCGTTCACTCGTCTGCTTCAGCTGTTTTGAAGCAGACTCAAAACTCCTGGATGACCTTGAAGTGGTTCTCGATGGAGGGCGGCTCGTCCTCGAAGTGCAGCTTCTTGCTGGGACAGGCCCCGAACTCCTCCAGAGTCTTGATGAAGTGTCCGTGCTCGCGGCCCACCCAGGCCCGCATTGGGTCGCACACCTCGTACGGGGTCACGTGGGCGTGGATCGACACCCCGCTGGCGGCGAGCTCTTTCAGCACCTGCTTGTCCGTCACCCAGGTCTCGCTGCCCCCAGGGTGCCCCCCGTCCAGCCAGAACATGTCGGTGATGCGCTTGACGAAGGGCGACATCTGCGGGTCGGCGCGGGCCCCGGCCAGCTCGTACACCATCTGGTTCAGAACCACGCAGCCTTTGCTGAAGCCCACCAGGGTGAGGGAGAACCCTGAGGGGATGCTGTCGGCACCTCCCTCTGGCTGGAGGGGGTTCGGGAGGCGGGCTCGCTCCATGCCGTGGCTCAGCAGGGCCCTGCGGTCAGAAACTCTGCTCAGACTCAAGAACACAGCATCTCTAAGATCTACAACAGCCTGCAGCAAAGGTCATGATGTGACGAGCTTGTCAGAGGCCAGGAGACTGAGGCGAGAACTGCTCATGAGTAAAATGTTAATCTGATAATGTGCAAAATCCAAACATTCAAGCAAACTCTCCGCCACAGATCACAGCAGAAAACGAGCTTAAAGCCAAACCTGAGGTGGCGAAATGCTCCAAAGTCAGGTGAGTACGGACAGTGCTCCGGCGCCCCGAACATGTTGCTCTCCACAAAGTTGTGGTAGCAGCTGAACTTGTGCAGATACATGCGGGAGGCCTTCACCACCCAGACGTGCCTGTCGGGGAAGCGTGCAGCCAGAGTGAGAGCGACCTGCTCCAGGCTCCAGGACAACCACTGAGCTCCTTCAGGCTGCACGGCCATCTCCTCCTGGAAGTTCTGCACCAGCAGACAAAGACGCTGTTTACAGCTTATATGACAACACAGCAACAACATGACATGAGGACATACATCCGTTATACAGCAACAAGTCCTGCAGTTTGCCTTAAAGGAGTTAACGCAGTTGATATCATGGCGTAGATCAATGTTGTTGGGGAGGGAAGGGGGCTGCTTTGAAAAATTTAAATTAGGAATGAAGCTTGTTTGCAAAAGTTATTCATGTGTTTCCATCCGGGAGCGAAACAAAACATGTTTTCTTCATCCCGTCCTGGTGACAGAGTGACTAAAACGGGCACAAACACACACACGGGTGGATCTTTGACCCACTTAATTAGTCTCATCAGCGGCGTCTTGTCAGCGTGCTGTCACACTGAACACAATGACCTCATTCACTTTATTTACATGGAAACATCACAGTGGCAGCATCCTGCACACACAAAGGTCTCCTGGGAAATACCAGCACACGGTGGGAATATTAACACTCGCTCGCAGAGTCGCCTGATGAACTTCAGACGAGGACAATGAATAAACGGAACGGTCAGCAGACAGACTGGAATGAATGAGGGCGGTTCATGGATGCTCGAAAGCAGAAAAGAAAAATAAACGTGTGGTGGTTTGGTTTTATTCTACTTCTCCACATTTTTAAGTAGGTTCCAGTAAGTAGAAGAGCTGCATGCACTCAAAAACTAAACATGCAGCGGGTAATGAGGACAGGGAAAACGTCAAATTCCTCTGCTCTCATCAGCACAGCAAGGACGACGGCTTAAAGGACAGGCTGGCAGTTTTTCAAGTCAGTCTTAAAACACTCGTCAGATTCACTGAAATCCGAGCAGGAAGGGAATTCTGACAGGACAGCAGGAGGAGGAGGAGGAACGATTACAGAAACCTGTTGCCGTGTTCATATTTGCACCCAAACATTGTTTAAAGACAGACACAGAAAGAATGTGCCTTTAAAATCCCTCCACAGGTTTTAATAAACTCCCAAAAACGTCGCTCTGTGTGTCAAAGTTAGTTTTAGGAGCTTTTTTGTGCTCAAAAATGAATTCCTTCCTGCATTAAAATGGTTTATATGCAACTCTACTCCACTGTTTCCTTCACCTGTCGAGGAGCGACATCTTTGTCACCCAGCCCTCTGCCATTTGCTGCAGCTCAAGAACACCAGCTCATCTATGACACTGCTTATACTGGAGTAATTCAGCCATGCATGTTTGAAGTGAAAACTCCATCCTGCAAGTTGACATGATGTTTCATGAGGTTTGCTGCATATGAAATCCTAAAAAAAATAAACCTATGAGCATGTTAATGAGGCAAAAAAGAAAGAATTTAAACCAAATTGTTCTTAAAGAACAAAGGACGTCCGTTTCAACACACTGCACCAGTCTTGTGGCGTTTTCAGTACATTTTTGTGTCTGAGCTCAGATGAACCCGTTCACTCATGAAGCGTCATATAAATAAACTTAACTTGATATCAAAGGAGCGACATGACGGGGTCACATGTCTGTCCTCGTATGCCGAAAACTCCTCTCTCACAGTTTTTAATCTCCTGTGTGATTTTAAAGCTGCAGATTTGTGTTGGACTGAGGCATTTGTGCAGATTAAATTACACATGACTTCAGTAGGAAGCAATAAATCTAATGCAAAAAAAAAAAGAAAATGAGGAATCCCGTAGGCACACAGGTGATTCATCAGATAACCATGAGGTGACACGTGTTGCACAAAAGCCAGTAACACAAACTGCAAATTCTACATCCACAACCCTGTCAGTGAGGCGTGCAGCTGCACAATAAATAATAACTTTATTTGTCTAGCAGCACCTTGGAGAACAGCGCTCACAAGGTGCTTCGACAGTGAAAAGATGCAACACAGAGACAATGGAGGAAGATGTAAGAATGAAAGAATTAAAATAAATACGCTGTAATACACACATTACACAGGCCCTGTCATCACTTTAACCCTCCTGTTTAGTTGTGCATATGACAGCTGAACGTATTTGATCTGTACTCTTCTAATTAATGACTATATTTATGTTTTATGGATTGATTTTATCTGCCTCTTTGCTTTTAATGTAGTTAATTAATAACTTGTGTTTATGTTCTGTGGACTGATTTTATCTGTCTTCCTATAGTTTTGTGTGAAGCACTTTGAATGACCTCGGGTACGAACTGTGCTGTACAAATATACCCGTCTGGTCTATTACCTTCCAATTTACTGACATCTTTTATCCTTGGGTTCAGCTTGACCTCAGAAATGTAAACCTCCAGAAAACATCATAATTAAAATTGTTGGCTAAGTTTATGTGTAAATAGCCCTTTAAATAAAACAGAATATATATGTCAATGACTTATTTAGAGATGTTAAATGGGATCAAATTGAATCCAAAGATAAATGGAGGGTTAAAACCTACCAGATGAATTCTGTACACTTGTATTGCACAGGTTGTAATTTTATATCAGTGCAGAAATGATTGATCAGAGTCTGACAAGGTTTATTTATTTCATTAGTTAAATAAATAACACAAATAAATAATAATAATAATGTTGATCAGAGACCTCCTCAGTTGTCTTGTGTTTATCCACAACTCAAACACAATAGAGGAGGAACTAGAAAATACTCATATTTAAGAAACTGCAATCAGAGAAATTTTGCATTTTACTCCTAAAATTACATCAACAAATTAATCAATTATCAAAATAGTTCAATTAGTCGTTACTATTAACGGATTAATTGTTGCAGCTGAAGTAATTATACGCTACTAGATCACTCATTATAGCCAAAACACATATACAATCTGAATAAATATTCAAAATAAGAAGAAGAAGAAGAGAGAAAACGTGGGTTTATTACAATATTAATATCCAGTGAACCCATCCAGCAGCCTGCAGAGCAACACCGCCCTGGATGGACCGGAGCCCCCTCCCACATCCCCACTCACCTGGATGTCTCCGTGGAAGAACACCACATGCCTGTTCCCGCTCCTCTCCTTCCCCTCCGGCTCGCTCTCTCCGTCCGCGTCGGGCCGCAGCAGCAGCAGGTCGTTCACTCTCCTCGGGACGTGTCCCGGAACCGCGACCAGGCGCTGCAGCCTCCCGCTGCGTGCATCCCGGCTGTCCGAGGCACGCAGCCCCCGAAGCTCCGAGGACGTCGCCACGGAAGTCATCGCTTTTGCAACAGTTATGAACGTGACGCCCACTGCGACTGCTCGGGCGGCCAGCAGCATGGACTCTAAAATAAGAAAGTGATTTGGCGTTTTCCTTCCCTGCGCAGTTACTCCATAGTGCTGCTGCTGCTGCTGCTGCTGCTGCCCGCTAGCTAACCAGGCTAACCAGGCTAACAGGATCAGTCCGCTGGCAGCATCACATTATCGGCTGCTGACTCCGAACAAACGCCCCGGAGCCTTAACATGCGGAACTAACAGACACACGTTTCACTCTGTACGCACTGTCCGTCTCACATGGTGTCAGTTTTCAGAATAAATTTACAGCATTTTGTCGTATTATGACAGCTCGAGGTCCGTTTTGTCCACGAAGAGGCGCTGTTTATCAAAAACACGGCAAACACTCAGCAGCACTTCTGCGCATGTCTGCTTTTCCCTCTACCAAAGATAAGCGAGCGTCGTCGAGATGATTCTCTCCCGTGTGCTGTTGTTTTCCACCAGTTGGTCAATGATCATAAATGTGGACTTAAAAGAAACGCAGAAAGCACTTTTATTCATATTCCAGACGCTATGTATATAAAACAAAAAGCTGTGAGTAGACACATAAATAAACAGGCTGTATTCAGGACTAAACAGATATATAATGTCATGTAATGTATTTATTTATTATATATGTTAGCATCCATTTAGATTTCTGTAATCAATACATTATACTTTAATATATCTTTATTTTTTTGTTTATTTAATTATCATAATTTACTAGTGTGGCATATTTAAAGAGTAGTGCTGTTTGGATTACTTTCCTAACAGGAGATATACATGACAGACTTAATATGCATACACACTGAATGTATATACAACATCAACAAAAAAAAAAAAAAGAAAAATCCATATAGCACACTATCCGTGAAGTCCTTCCAATAAGATGCAAAGTACAAAACAAACAAACAAACAAACAAAACTAACATTTTTCTTTCGTCAGGAAACAGAAATGGCCGCTCGGATGGGAACAGCAGGGAACTATCTTTCACTGAGCTCTCCAAACTTTAGCAAAACATTAAAAGGTGCGTGTTGCACAGGCTGCATGTAAAAGGTATTTGTTTGTTTCTTTTCATGCAGTGTCTCTGATCTGCGTGGGTTGTCAGCAGCTGCACAGATGTGACTGCCCTGATGGTGTTTACGCACAGAAATGAGTGAATTGTGTTTTTCCCTCCCTCGTGGTCTCGTGGTTTAAAACAGCAGAGAAAAGTGTGCGCACGTGAAGAGCATTCACCTGAACGCAGGTATGCCACCGAGCTGTCAGCTGTTTTTAGTCATCAGCAGGTGAACGTGGTGGGTTAGTTCAGACCAGGCTGGACTTTGAGCTGTTCTGTAGCTGAACAGACTCACAGTTGTGAAGCAACACTCAGCTTAATAATTCCCTGAGGCTCCACTGGACCAACGTAAAAACCAATAAACACCTGAATTATTACCTGTCAGGCTCAGTCTGGACATAAGGAGACTCCCTTCATCTGCTCAAAGGTAACACAGACTCTAACAGTCCTACAGTCTGCACTTGCTTGTATTCACTGGAGGTCATTTCAGAGTCTGTCTATTTTTTATGAGTGCTTTTGTCATTGTGGTACATTTTGGCTGCAACACCAAAGCAGGTGTTCTGTTGCTGTGATGAACCTCCACATCATCACTAAAGGCAGCTATTCATTTTGAAGTGACATTGAGCAGTTCATAGTTTGAGGTAGCCATGCTTTCAGTTAAGAGCCACACTGCTTATCACCCAAAAGCTAAAATGATCAAATTATTTACACAGTTGCTTATATTGACAAACTTACATGTGAAAAACAAAATGGAAAAAGTAAAGATCTGTATTTTAAAGTGACACACATGACATAAGAGATAATGGTAAATGTTAAATCTATGACAGCAGCACAAGTGGGGAAGATTTCTAAAGCCATAAACTGGCACAGTCGTTTGGCAGGAATATCATGAGCCACCAACAGCTGCAGGTCTCACCAGCAAAATCTCAACTGCATTGACCCTGTAGTATTTTTTTTTATGAATTCATCTTTTCTTATCCATTCGTCTCCATCATGCCTACACTTCTGTCATTTCATTCTCAGTCTGCTCACTGCACGTCCTCATTTTGATCTTTTCAGTCTTGCTGCTGCTGCAGAAACATGTCCTCAGGCTCTTTGGGCAGACGACTGGTGGCGTGTCTCCTCAATGTTTCCGAGGCTCGCAGGAAAGACCTGGTGGAGACTGTGGCCAAGGCGGCGTTGTACAACGCTGAAGGCAAGTTGGCTGTTCTGAATCCAATTTCAACCAGTGGCGTTATTAACATTTCTTAAAGTAGCTCTGAAGCATCCACACTCATATTTACAGTGTGAAGTCTTTAGGATGTTTTGCTTAGAATTTTAATTAAAAAAAAAAAAGTCTGCAGACACTGAATGCTGACAAAGCTGCACATTTTTCTTAAGAGGGAATAACTGCTGTACTAGAGTTTGTTGTGAAACTGCAACCTCAGTTTGCAGGCAAATCTACCATATGTGCTTCATCTTTCCCTGTGGAGTCACTGGGGATGCACAGTATTGGATTTCTGCCGATGCAGATTTGTTTTCCATCTCATTTTGGCTGATTCCAATATATGCACATGTTTTCCTACTTAATTGCAGAGAACATCGGGTTTCTCCTATAGTGGAATTATCATATTAATACGTGAACTCTTGCTGTGATGTCCACTGGCAGGTTTCCTATATGCAAACTCACTGCACAAAATGCCAAAGCTGCTTCATCTTGTATGTAAAACAGCTATATTTATTTCTATGTAACATTTTCAAACAAAATTCTTGTGTTGATCGTGCTTTAGCATGCTTGTTGACCCGTTTTGCAGTTGGCAACACAAATAAATAAGTGTAACCTTCTTCCACAAGTGTATTCTTGGGACAGGGGTACGGCATTGAGTGAGTGTTTAACTGCCTGTCGATGTTTATTTTGGGCTGATATTTCATTTAAACACTACTGATGTACAAATATCATGCACCTCTATCACTGAATGTACTGTCATTGTGTCCTCTGTGATGGCACTAGATGGAACCACAGTGACGCTACTGCAGGCTATACTTGTGAAATATCAAATCAAATTAGACGCTTATTTAACTTCTTTGTAATTATCATACATCAGGTGTGAGACGGGAGGGCACCACAGTGCTGAACATCTTTAACGATCATGACTACAACCGCTCTGTCATCACTATTGTGGCCACGATCGACTCAATCAGTAAGTATCTAATCTTTTTTTTTTGCTGAAACACAGATATGGAAGAAATATTCAGGTTGTTTGCTTAAATAAAAGTAGCAGTAATGTAAAAATAATCCATTATCAGTACAAGTTCTGCCAGAATATATGTTACTGAAGCATCAGCAGCATGTTGTAGCTGTTTCAGTAACTTTATACTTAATATATACTATATTCAGTTTTATATACAGGGACAGCAGATACATTCATAGGACAGGAAAGGAAATAAAACACGTTGTGATACACACGTTTTCAGTTTTTGGACTTTTTCTTCTGATCTCAGGTTTTTAATAAGATATTGGATCACGTGAACATTTATTTACCTGCAAATTGTACTTAAGTACTGCACTTTAAAACATGTTCTTTGATTCCAGCACTGCTGAAAGCTCATTTAGATGTAACATTTTTAAATTCATTCTCCATCTGTAGCTACACTGCTACAGCAGGGATTCAGTCCCTGTCCGCTGCTCTGCAATCCTCTGAGAGTGGAAAAAAAAATCCTTTAATGAGCTTTGTCAGGGATTTAAACACAAAAAAAAAATTCAGAAAGAACTTTTTTTTTTTCCTGGCAAAGATCACAGTAAAAAAGTTTATCTTAGTGAATGCACGTCTGAAACACGAGCCCCTGACAATGAAAACAGAGCTGTCGAGGTTTGCGGTGCCGCGTCCTACACGTACACCTTCTTTGATCCGGCGTTTCCCTGCAGCGCATCTTCGCTGTCACAGTATGTTTGATGTCGTTGTTGATGGATTCCAGGGGAGGCGATTCTGTCTGCGTGCCAGGAAGCGTGTGGGCTGATCGACATGCGCACTCACACGGGGGTACACCCATGCATGGGCGCCGTTGACCTCGTACCCATCTACCCCCTGGGGGAGGAGGTGGGAGTGGAGGACTGTGCTAAAGAGGCTCGGGGTGAGATGTCATTTGTGTGTGTGACTGCAATCCCAAATATGTCCCTGTCAGTTTATTCTATAGTGAGTCTCTTCATTAGCTTTTGGGGGTGAGGCACTTCTCATGTCTCTTTATTTACATTCTGTGCTGTATTTGCTTTGAACACAGATGAGTTTTAACGTTGCTCAGTGTCGATAACATCCAGTGTGTGCAGCAGAACTGTGCATCAGCTGTAATTTTTTCATTTCAGTGTGCACATACTGTATATACCTGTATACTGTAATGAGCTCATCCATACTATCTATAGGGACGTGTCTATTACATGGTGACGTGACATGCCCTTTTTCTTGTTGTGCTGTTGATTAGTTTCACGCTTTCTCGGCTGACTTCGCGGCCATGTGTCTTGCTCATAATGAGCAGAAACTCAGCATGTGGCCTGCATGCCTGAAGTGTGCGCTCTATATGCTAATCTGCACGGTGTGATTGCAGAATGGCAACTGGCAAATTCACTAACAAGCAATATATTTATGCGTGCATGTAATAAGCGCTCCACGTGATGCTATTTTGCCGTCTGTGTGAATTACATCCCCTCTGGTGTGTTTTGTCTGTCACGCTCTCGTTGCTCTCGTGCTGCTGAACTTGTGCGCATGTGATGGTGTGCAGCCGTAACACGTCTGTGCTCTCGCTCGGGCTCAGCTGTGGCTCAGGGACTGACGGAGACGGTCCCGGGCACCAGCGCCTTCCTGTTCGGCTGGGCGGACTCCCCCCTGCAGCGGGGACTGGCGCGCAGGAGGAAGGACATGGGCTGGTTCAAGAAGACGCCAGACCTGCAGGAAATCAGGCCCGACATGGGTCCACAGCCGCAGAGACGGTTCGGCCTCACAGGTGAGCCAGAGCTGGCACAGAGAGTGAGCTACATTCCATATCCTAGACAGGTTCCCAACTGTTAGAGCCTGAAAGGAAGGTTAGTGTCTCTTTGGCAGGATTATACAACGCAGGTGACTCAGGTGACTCCTCAGGCCGTCTGTTTTAAAGAGCCACCTGCAGGTTGGCAACCCCAGTAAATTAGACTCTAATTTGCACCAGTTACAAAAGCGAGCAGAGCCACGCCAGCTCTTGGTAACAATAGGAATACGGATCCTCACAGTAATTTTGACACCACAGAGGTCAAGAATATGTAATCACAGTCATGTGATGGACCACTTTATAATTATGAGCCTACAGGTGTCACAGGGGCAGACCAGGATTAGAAGAACAGCAAGAAAATAACTTGTGGTGTGAGGAGAACCAGTAGAAAGCAGGGAGGAGGACGTTTGATAAGATTAGCCAGCGTTGTGTTACATCTCAGTACCATAAAGTTTGTCATCAAGTCTAGAGTATTAACACTTTCCTTAATGGAAACGAATGCAAGAGGAGCAGCTGGTATCACTTGCCTGACTTAAACTGGTTTTTGGTACCAAATAAGAGACATGATTAAAGCAGAAGTTTGCAAACATAAAAGCAGACTTACAGTTCATGTTTTCGTACGGCCGAATCTCTCACCAAGTTGTGATCGTTGAAGCAGATATCAGTCTCACACATCCCATCTTAGACATGCTCCATGCATGTAACCCTCCTGTCTAAAAGAAGCGCCTCGTACAACCACATTTATTGTTAAAATCGTCACTTCACCTGCATGAAACACAACCAGGCATGAAAGCAGCTGCAGCGTTGTTAAACGTGTGAACTCAGCGTTGTGACAGGCAGGAGATAAGATACTTGACAATGATGGAAAAACAGGCAGGTATTACCAGCTTTCTAAATCCCAGCCGCTTACACTCACCACCACCTACTGCTGCACAGCACACAGAGGCAGACGATGTAATACGACCCGGTGTGAAAGAAAAAGCGTCTCATGAAACGTTCGATTGTGCATGAACTGTTCAAATTAGCATTTACAAGAAATATTAAGTACGAGCAGCCGGCAAGTTTTTAAAGAAACAAACTAAACTGAAACAGATCAAACATGTAGCAGTGGTCAGACAGTTGAACCAGCTGTATACACACCACTGACATATGATCACCTTAAAGTCAGTGAACATGTTGGACATGACATATACAGCTGACATTAGCCTTCATTTAAAGCTGTGTTTCTGACTACTTGGGTTTAATATTCACACTGCTTCAGCTGCATTAGGAAATGATGCTGATGGGAGCAATAGCAGTAAACCCTTTCAAGTACATATAGCGTGACTTAAGATGTCTGCGTCCACTGTGTTTGTTTAGTGCATTGAGTGTCTTATACTTTCAAAAACAAACATGGCAGTCACCACTAATCTGGTATCATAAGATGCTATTCAAAATTGTGTAACAGGCTGAAAGTGTTCTCATGGTTCTGATTGGCCTGGCTTCTTCTAGGTGTCGGGGCCAGTCCGTACGTCATGAACTGCAACGTCACCATCGACACCCAGGACATCGCCATGGGCCGCAGCATCGCCACAGCCATCAGGGAGTCGACCGACGGGGGCCTGCCTGGTGTACAGGTTTTGGCTTTGCCACATGAGGGTGCTGTGGAAATTGCTTGTAATGTAGAAAGTGTAAAAGGAAACACGCCCAGTCACCTGAGTGCGGGTGGACCGTGGCCGTCTTTCAGCATCGATGGTCAGCCGTACTGTCACGCTCCAGCTTCCCTTATCACAGCCAGGGTCGCTGAGCTGGCAGGGAGGCAGGGGGTCACCACGAAGGGCACCGCTCTGGTGGGGTTCACCCCCCGTGAGTGCAGGGGTTTAGCAGAGCTCGCGCTGTCTCAAGGGATTGCAGAGTTCTGGAAAGAACAACGCAGAATCCGTATGTGAAAAAGACTCCTCGCCAAAACCTGTGAAACCTCACACAGAAGTAGACAATGTTTACTTCAGCTACCTCAACAAATGTCTGGTTATAAGGCCTCAGTTTCCATTTCTAACTCTGTCAACCTTTCCACTGTGGCTCTACACAAATCTACTGTACAGCAGAGGCAGGTTTGCTCTTCATAGTAATGTTGGAATTAGTAGGTCTTCACACAGTAGAAGGCAAAATTGAGTTTCTCAATTTCAGTCAACTGTTGCTCGCAACTTCATAAACTGTAGTTAGCCAGATTTCCCAGTTTATTCCAAACCCTGTAAACTGGTTGTAAACTCAGCTTCAGCTGATTATTTTGTGCTTCCAGCTGAGCCTTTAAAACAATCTGTCAAAGAGTTTTACATGTGCACATAATGGCCACACATTCTATATTATGCTAATATAATGCTAGTGAGGCAAAAACTGTATAGAAAAAGCATCCATCCCTGACAGAATGCAACATCCTCACCAGTCAATAATCCATGTGGAAACCATGGGAATAAGGGAGCAGTGTTGCTCTAGTGTTATGGAGTAGGGGGCCAACATTACGATTTTTCAGTAATTAATGAAATTAAAATGTATTCCTATTGTAGCTGTGAAGTAATCTCATAACATATTTTGTCAAACAATGTAGGCATTTTGGCTTTGCAAATAATGTTACTAGCTTGTTAGCTGGGCATGCTAATTACCATAGCATACATTTAAGCCATAGATACTTATATATACAGTTGAGAACAAAAGCCTACATACGCTTGTAAATACCATGTGTATCGTAACAGTCTTGAGTTTCCAATGATTCCGTAACTAAGAACTTTCTATGATGGAATCATTAAACTCATGCATCTGTGTCACAAAAAAACAATGATGCATCTTGGTTCTTTCATTGATTTATTAAAGGCCTTCTGGAAATATGACAAATTTTGGTAGTCGTCTACAAGCTTCTGGTTGTATCTCTGATCCTCTTGACAGAATTGGTGCAGTTAAGTTAAATTTGTCGGCTTTCTGACACAGACTTGTTTCTTCATCACAGTCCACAGGTTCTTAATATTGTTTAAGTCAGAACTTTGGGGAGACCAGTCTAAAACTTTTATTTTAGTCTGTTTTTAGACATTTCTTTACCACTTATGTTGTGTGTTTGTGGTCATCGTCTTGTTGGAACACCTAACTGCATCTATGACCCAACCATCTTCCATTGCAGCAAAACAGTGCCAGAGCATAATACTGCCACCACCATGCTTAACGCTAAGTTTGGTGTCTTGGGGGTTTAAGACCTCACCTTCTCCCTTACAAACGTATTTCTGGTCATCAAAAAGCCCGACCTGACCACAGAACTTGCCTCCAGAAGGCATGTCAACTATCCTTGACTGTGGTCACTGATACCTGTGTTGCAGCAGCTTCTAATTCTTTGTAGACCTGCTTTTTGCTGATTCTTGGTTGTCTCTTAACCATCACGACCAGTTGTTTCTCAGCTGTCTGTGTCTTCTTCCTGATCATGGCAGTGACACAACTGTGAAGTGAACTTCATACTTACAAACAGTTGTTTACACAGATGATTTGGGGATCTGTAGCTACTTTGAAATGGCTCCAGTTGACTTTCCTGACTTGTTCAAGTCAATGATTTGCTGTTTCAGATCTGTGCTGAACTCCTTGGACTTTCCCACTGTGGTATTTGTGGCTGATGAGTGGATCAAATGTGCCCTATTTTAATTGGCCCATCAAATTCCACAGCTGTATTCAATCATTATCATTCATGAGAAGTTAAGAGGCCATGACACTGAAAATTTGATTAAGACAGCTTCTTTATATCACCAAAACTGATACTTCAGAATTGCTGTAAATGTTTATTTTTGACCCAGCAGATTGTGTATGTTTCCAGAAGACCTATAGTAAAGAAAGAATCAGGATGCATAGTTGTGTTTTGTGACAAAGACACGTGTTTCGATCATTCCATCATAAAAAATTCTGAGTTATTGGAGTCATTGCAAGCTCAAGACTGTCATGATTTACATGTTTTTTAACAAGTGTATGTTAACCTTTGTTCACAACTGTAAGATGGCCAGATTGTAAAACAGCTTGCTTTATCATCTGTTTTCCTCTGTTTTGAGGAATAGTTGACTAAATGAGCATCATGCTGTTTTAAAGAGCATCAAGTTAGAAGTGGGGTCATTTTCTCATAAACCTTCAGTCACACTTGTTTTTGTAACCAGGAGAGATGCCCCCTGCTGACTGTTAGAAAGAATGCAGGTTTGAGGCACAACCATGTTGGCTTCACTTTTCAGACCTTAAGGCAACATCCATCTTTTATTAATTATCTGTGGTTTGAGCACACAAATAGCACACTGTTGATTCAGTTCCTTATCTTTTCTATTAGACAGTGCAAATGAAAACAACCTCTAAACACCAGTTTCACTCGGTATGCACTGGTTGATCGTGTGAAAGAATAAGCTTGTCAGCAAACATTGTTTTTTAATGTTTAAGCGTAAGGACCAATTAATGCTTGTTGCATCTGTGTGTGCAGATGGATGGGCATGTGGTTCTATTCATACTACAATCCGTATGCATTGGTCTGCATATCCCCTCATATCAAACAGAGAAAACATGAGGGGCTCTCGTGGATGCTTCTGAAAGGCTGCAACCTTGTAATTTATAATGACAAAGGATGTCCTCGTACAGTCTGTCCTCATAGCAAGCATTTGTCTTCAGCACCGTTTGTCTTTCTGGTACATGTGCAGACAGAATGCTTGCAGAGCTGACAGTCCACGCACACATTTTGGGAGCAATCAGAAGCCGGCAAAGAGGTCTGCAGACCCTCACGGACTTGGTTGGATGATGAAATTTACATCACATGCACCCTTGTGGAAAGCACAAATTGGCCTTTATGCTCCTATTGTTCGCAGCATCGGGAATGCTCTCAGTTCCTGGAACCTAACTGTACAATTTAACCGTACTGTTATATTTCCTGACATCTGCTCTTTACTGTCATTATTATAACATTAAGTTAATTATAAATAACATTTCCTTTCAATTTCTGATAATTAATTGAGTTGTTTTTAAATAATACATTAAATAAATAATTTATCAATTAAATATTTCCCTTGGTATTCCTTTCATGAGAGCAGATCCAGTTAAAGTGGCCAGTATAACACACCTGCCGGCTCAGCGCCTCCCCAGCGTGACACATGCAGCAAAAGAGATTTGATGTTCTGAATTCAGTGTCGCCAGCCAAGTGCAGAGCCATAAATCCCAGCCTACCGTCCTCTGGAGTGGAATTGGAGACGGCACTTTTCTTATGCATGTGTGTGATTTCCTGTTTGGAGCAAATGGGACACTTGTGTTTACTGATGAGTCTCTGCTGATGAGCCTTTTCCCATCGTTTTCCACCATCAGCCTCGCCATGCATGACTCTGTGGGAGAGTCACCATCTGTATGAGAAACGGCTATTTTTATCACAACACATTGGCTGAATCTCAGAGAAACATCCAGCGCCTTGGCAGCAAGAACATGTTACAACACACTGTTTAAGAAAAAAGAAAAATAGATATATATATATATATAGCTGTTTAACATTTAGTTTTTCTGTGTTTTCTTGTACACAGTGTAATCCTTAATTCACAGGATTAACCCTTTAATAACACGCAGGCAAATTTGGCCAGGGGACAGGTCAAGAATTAACTGGGGCGAGATGATTCCACTCATTTCTTACATAAGGCCGGCATAATGCACTGAATAGCAGCACATTGGTGGAGCAAGAAGGTATAGATTTGAGTCATTAGGGTCTAATAAACTGGACTGTATGGATGTTTCTAAAGGAGGGATCAGAGTAAATCAAAGCACATTTTAAGCCGACGTCTAATTTTATGCCATATGTAAAGGGAATTTTAGAGCCGATAACAATTTAATCTACATCCATAGTGGGTGCTAATCTGTTAAGCTTGAACTGAGGTAGCGTGATTCACAAATTCTTCCAGTGAAATCGGCGTCCTTCGGCGTGAGCGTCTGGATTTCTTATGTTTTTCATTATGTGGTGTGATTTTTCATTTTTCTGCGTTTGTCGTTACGTAAGGTCGCCCTTTTGAGGCTGTGCAGCTTTCATCAATGCGTGTGCACTTCTTTGGATAAGCTCCGTTACTGCGTGAACATTCACCTCTTTGTATGTCATCCAGCTGAGGCTCTTAAACGCATAAGTAACGCAGCCACGCAGCTTCATTTCATGCGTATGTACACAATTCTCTCCCTGCCTTCCACGCGCAGGCAGTCTTTCTCTCTTCTCTCGGCTGTCTTTTTTTTTTTTTTCTTCTGTTGTGCATCTAGGCACGCATGCATACGCATTTACTCTATGGATGGCACACACACACACACACACTCGCATACACTCAGCTTGCCAAGCTTGGGAGCATCAAGGCCTAATCTAGGTCACAGCATAAGCCCAGAGGTATCCTGGTCTGCACACACACACACACACACACACACACACTCAGAGCCACGCACGTTTTTAAATTTGCAAGCAAAATCACGTCTGGCATATAAAATCCATTTTGACTCAACTAATTTTCCCTCTGCTAGAACTGAAAACATTTTCATTTTGACACACCCCACTTCTCAGGAAAAACAAGGACTATAAATAAAACCAGTGATTTTCATATTTAAAAAAATAAATAAATAAAAAGCCCCCCCCTCTTCATCTCCATCTCCTCCTCCCTCCCTTATAAAGTCATCGGTTCTGTGACTCAGTCTAATGGCTCTTGTGATAGTCACACGACTGTCATTTCCTTGATTAAGTGCACTTCCTACTGCTCATCACCGAATCCATTAAAGAGACACTTTGCCACTGATGCCTGCACACAATCTTATTTTTTTTGTGTGTAATCTGCCTGAAATAATATCTTCCTGCATGCCGCTGCTGCAGTCTATGTGCATCCTTGCTGCAGAAGCACCATAGGATGCCTTTGATATGACTTAGCCTGACAGCATATCATCCGAGACGCGGTCGTGTGTCACAGCACAGAAATAGAGGAGCTTATTTCTTTATATCAGTCTCCAGCCTTCTATAAATATTCCAAAGCTCTCTGTTCTCTCTCTCTCCCTCTCTTTCTGTTTCTTTCTTGCTGCCCTCTGTTCTCCCTCCTCCCTCTCCCTTCCTCCCTCCTTTCACTGTTTCTCCATTTTTTTTTTCCTTCCTCCACACGCTCTGCCTCCCACATCTTCCTTTTCCCCCTCTGCTCCAGCCGCACAATGTGGAGAAATGTGTCTCTTGTCTGTCTAGAAAGAAGCAGTAGTCTTAAGGAGGAACAAAAACGCTCTTGTGCTGCATATTATTTCTGAACCAGCAGGGTTTGTTTTTTTTTATCCTCTGTGATTCCTGCAGGGCTCTTCAGTAACTGATTTTATCACATCAACATTTAGAATTTGCTTCACCCTTCCCTTATTTATTTCCCCCTTAAAACACAGATTCCCACCAATCAAGGACAGTGTGATGGTTAATCACAGCCAATAATCTCATCCGTGACTGCACATGTGTTTGATTCCAAAACAGGAACATTTACAAGAGAGAGAGAGAGGGAGGAAAAAAAGAGGCCAGGCAGATTTTTATCTTTCAACAACTGCCAGTCAGACGCTGCTGCGCACAGTGCCATCCTCCCTAACCTATCAGTGGGAGAAGTAAGCGTGCCACCTATGAAGTCAGCAGTCCCCCACCCCCACCCTGAACACATGTTCAACATCCTCTGGGCACAGGCTGAGCACAGCACTGAGACACAGCTGAGAATCAGAGAGAGAGAGAGAGGGGGAGAGAGAGAGAGAGAGAGAGCAGTGAAGTGGAAATATGGGTGAGCACCAGAACACGACAGAAATAGAGCGATAAAGCAGTGAATTAGGCAGAGGCAGGCAGAGGAGGAGGACAAACGCTTCACTGAGGCGGTGATGCTCGGTGCAGACGAGGTTATTTTGTCGTAGCACAAAAGCTGTTGTCGTGTGTGGATGTGAGAACCTCATGGATTTGCTCCCCGCCGAGTCTCAGTGGAATTCGCCGCAGACGAAGGATGCTGTTGTTGGATGCTAGGATCCATGTGGGCCTGTGACGCGCGGCTACCTTCTTCCTCAGGATGGCTCCGGTGGCTCTGACCCAGATTGTGGAGTCGTGGCTCTTCGCCGTGCGCTGCTGCTGCTGCTGCTGCTGCTCCTCCCCGGGTGGTCTGTTCCTGTGATGCGGACGAGGCATGCTCTTGAGGCCGGCGGACACCGCTCAGCCCGCTGCCTCTGCTGACATCTGTCTCCGTGGTTACGCACAGCGCCTGGCACGGTAAGGATGCGCCGCTCACATGTCCAGCTGATGGCCTTTGTATGTGTGCGTAAATACACTGCAGATCACTACAAGATCCACTCTCTAGTCCTCACACTTGCTCCTTCAAACATATTTCCTTTTCCGTGGGTTTAAACAGGCCCATAGTATGGTGCCATATTGTATGCATGCGCCACGCAGAATAGCTGCATGTATAATGTATGTCCTGGGAGATATCATTCTGAGCAACAAGTAAATGTGCTTCCCCCCAAAGTACCAGGGAAAGTAGGCTAGGATGGCACAGGCAGAGACGACCTGGATAAATAATTTAAAGTCCTTTTGGGTTCTGAAAGCATTTGGCTTCATTCTGCTCACAGGGACGGATGGACATGGGGCAAAGCTTATTTGTTCTTCTTCTTACTGGGAGAGATAAAATGATTTTATTCAGCTGGATTTCAAACTCATGAAGTCAAATTAAACCCACGCAGGCAGCCTCTCTCCTTCTTCAGGTCAGCACAGTTCAGTTTAATCTCATTTCGTGCAGCATCCTTGTTGTTGAGCTGGGAGGAGACATGACAGATCAGCAAATCCCTCTAGCCCAAACTAAAACAAAGCAGTTCCTGTCATTTGATCAGAGGTCAGACACTTTGGTCAGAGGTCAGAAAAGAGGCCAGCAAAGAGAAATCATACACTTGTGTAATGATGGTGAGAGTAAGACGCTGGCTTTAGTTGTTGTGGTTCCATATTACACTTGTTTTGTTTTTTTCTTTGCTGCTGCTTCTTCTTCTTCTTCTTTTTTTTTTTTACCTTGGGATGCTGCTAATTAGTCTGGACCTCTGAGAAGTGTTTTTAATTCCAGTGGATTTATTTATCTCAGTGGGTTGTAAAGCTGCTGAAAGTAAGCTGGCTTTATATGTATTACTCATAACCTCATCAGTATTTTACTGCCTGTCTGGCTTACGCTGATACGTTTACAGATATGTTAGTGAGTACATGATACCAGAAATTCTGTAGTTAGTACCAACACCACTAAAATTTGACAAAAAAGGAATGTCAGTCAAATTCATGTATTTCAATATGAAAAAAAAAACAACTGCTGATGCACACTCTTGAGTAGTAGTCCCCGGATGTAGATTCTGTGTAAGCCTGCCACACAATTCATACAGCTTTCTACTCACCTTCTGCTATCTACATGTTACTATTTTCACAATTCCTTTTGGTACGGGAAACAACAACAACTTCCAGCCAAGCACATCCATCCTACGTGCTAAAAAAGGTTACGCTTTGCTGAGGATTGTGCAGTAAAGCAGTAAATCTCCATCTTAATGGCAGTGCTTGTCGTCCTGTGTGCACATTTTCCACCAAAACAATTCTATTCGCCACTGTTTTGCAGGAAAACTGTTGCTACATCCTTCACTTAACTTCTCTCAATATGACTGTGATTGGTTTACAGAAGGGGCTGCGCAGTTGGTAGCACTGTTGCCTCGCAGCAAGGAGGTTGCCGGTTCGCGTCCCGGTGGGGGCACCGGAATCTTTCTGCGTGGAGTCTCCATGTTCTTCCCGTGCAGCGTGGGTTCTCTCCGGGTTCTCCGGCTTCCTCTCACACAGTCCAAAAACATGTTGAGGTTAATTGGTGATTCTAAATTGTCTGTAGGTGTGAATGTGAGTGTGCTTGGTTGTCTGTCTCTAAGTGTGGCCCTGTGATAGACTGGTGACCTGTCCAGGGTGTCCCCTGCCTTCACCCTAAGTCGGCTGGGATAGGCTCCAGCCCCCCCGTGACCCTAGTGAGGATAAAGCGGTGTATAGATAATGGATGGATAGATAATGGATGGATGGTTTACAAAAATGTGAGCGTTTCCCACCTATCACACAATAATGATCAGGTACAGTCAGACCGTTCTGCAGCACCAAATGCACTATGTAAGACAAAGCGTGTATTACCATACACATGCACACACAATGTTTTGTTTTGACAGTAATGACAGTAACATACTAACTAGCTTTTATGAGCAGCTCATAGCATGTAAGTTATGCTTACGTTAGCCTAATCAAGGTAAAGTATCTTGAATTCTGTGTTCAGACCTGCATGTGTAGATAAGTTTGATGTGTTTTGCTCCAAATGTTCTGTGACACCATTTGCATTCTGGTTCTTGGTTGTCTATAATTTGTCTCTGATCATCCAACTCAAACATTAAATATCCTTTTTAGGCGCCGAATAATCAATAATTTGACAATAGCAATTGCAGTGTTGACCCTACAGAGAATTACTGTTTTCTCTCGTCATTTTTGCCCACAGCAGGCAGCTGTATTTAGAGAAAAACCTCTAAAAACCTACTATAGGCTACTATTTCTGCATCGAGCACCAAACAGACGCAGTTATTGACTTGATGGTGAACATAGTGGATCGTTTACCAGCTGGTAGTGACCAAAGAAGCTAAAACACATCCGTGGCCAGGCAAAATTGCATTGTAACTGATAGGCATCTATAAAAGCCCTCGCCAGCCTTACCAACTGCTGAGATCAAGTCAGTTTTGTGTTCACCACTAGGCTAGCCTGAGCTACATCTGCACTAATATGTAATTTAAAAAATGCATAACTTCTGCTACATTTATGCCCTGCGTCTGCGCTGCTTTTGAGTTTTAGGATCCGTAAAACAAAGACGTTTGGAAAAGCTGCCGACCTCGTTTTAGTTTGAAAACTCCAGGGATGTGTTTTAGTCTGAACAGGCAGAGATAGAGACTTTGGAAACTATAAAGCAAACACCCACATTTGCATTCTGATTAAATTAATTGTCACTACGTATCATTCCCTGAGGCCTCACTCCGTTATCACATGACCTTCCTCCAGAAGAAAACAAAAACATCAGTGGTTAATTTAACAGGGAGAATAAATTACAGGCATTGCTGATCTTGTTGTTTCAGCCAGCAGCTGTTGTGCAGTTGAAGGAATTTCTGGTCTTACTTTCCACCATTGCTGTTCTTCCTCTGTAGTGATTTGTACAACTTAACAATCAACCCTTCACTTCATGTTTACACCTGCAAGTCCAGTGAATGCTCATGTTACATGCACCTTGGTATGCACAGAGAACATTTCTGAAACTGTGTTGAAACGCTTGTCTGGATGGGGATGCTTTGGGTTTCAAAATGCTGTTTTGAAACAAAAACATATGAGTAGAGGTGTATCCTCAGATAATCCAAGCTCACATCTACTGAACATGCCATATACATATATGTGCAGGTGGAGTCACTGCACACTGTGATGCAAAAGTCTAAAACTAAATACTTCCACCAAATATCTCACCAGATCATGGTTGGCTTCTTAAAGATGGGACCTACTGAACAAAGCCGCAGATGTTCAAATCTTTTGTCTTACTGAAGTGCACCAAGTGCCAAAAATTTAAAACTAACTGGGTCACATTTGTTTGCTTTGTGTGTCTAAACAGCCCTTTCGTAACTTGTCATGCCAATTACAGCATCTGCAGATCTGATCCACACACAACAAAATAAACTGTAGCTGTAAAAAATCTGTAGTTAATCCTTTTGATTGGGCCTGACTCAGCATCACAATACTGTCATGCTCTGCAGGTTGTTTGATTGGCTAGAGTATGTCCAGGTAGATTGTGGTAACAGCAGTTTTGGTCACCACTGTAACACACAGACCAGCTGAGGTGCTGGAGCTTCGTAGCTCATCAGGAAACTCCAGCAGAAAGACTTACAACAGGAGCTGCTGAAGAGAGAGCTGAGGCAAATATGACCGCTAAAGGATGATAAACAACTAGGCCCTGTCCCTCTTGGCAAAAAATTACCACACAGACTGAGCTGTCACACCGATGCAATTACTCCACTGATTTGACAGTCAGTTTGAAAATTAAGGGTTTGTTCATTTTCATAACGTAGCGTACGACTCCATCCGCCCTCACTTATCTCCTCGACGCGCTGCGGTACATTGGAGTCAAGTGCCTAATTCAAGGGGAAGAAACATCTGAAAAGTATTATTGTGGCAACACGGCTGACCTGACCTCGATGCAGAAAAAGCCTTTAAACAGGAGTGGATGTGCATTAGCTCAGGGCAAGGGGATAACCATTGTCTGTTGCTGCATCTATTCCACGTTTGGCGCATTGAGGCAGATAGTCTAATGCATTCGATTGGGAGGCTGGATGAGGGCATTGTGCAGCAGCATAAAAGGGGTCAGTGGTAGCCTAAAGGTTAAAGAAAGGGTTTGACGGGAAAGGCTATCACTGGAAGAAAGCATGGTGAGAAGTGGATGATGCTCTCTGTAGAGTCCTTACCTGCAGTGTTCTGAAATCATCATAACGAAATTATTCTCTATGATATCAAAGGGGTCACTTGTGGACTTATCAGTGATGCTATACTATGTACGTTTGCGGTACAAGTGCAGCGAGAACTAGCTCATAAACATACAGACGGACAGCAGATAAAAGGAAAACCCAACATAGAGCATCTTAGTACGGTATCGTGCCACCAAAACAGCTTCAGTGTGTCTTGGTATTGGTCCTCTAACTCTCTGGATCTCTGCTGGAGGGATGAACACCATTCTTTCAATAGATGTTTGGTGTTTTGATGATGGTGGTGGAGAACACTGTGCTAAGATCTGGGCTGAGATCTGGCGACTGCGAAGGCCGTAGCATATGAGTCATATCGTTTTCATCGAACCACTCAGTGGGCTCCTCCCTTTCCCTATGGATGGGGTCGTGGTCATTTAGGAAGAGACCGCTTCCATCAGAATGGAAATGTTTCATCATAGGACAAAGGTGACCACTCAGGACTACTTTGTATTGATTTGCAGTGACTCTTACAGCAAAATGCCTCCCACTGCATAACAGAGCCACTGGATACTGTCACTGTAGGGGTCAAGAGTTTAGGTTTTCCTCTAATATATCACCAGTGTACAGTTGAGTATCTATTAAACACTCTGTAACAGGGGATGTGTGTTGGCTGCTTGTCAATTTGCTGTAAAGTGTTGCTGCGTCCGAGTGGTAAAATTGATTCAGACATCCTAA